AGGGCACAGGAAACCCTGATGTGCAACGCCAGCCATCCTCACCGCCTGGGGACAGGAGACAGCCCCATGGCTTCATCTGGCCACAGCAATAGGGATGCTCATGAAGGTCCCAGCCTTCATCTTCAGCCTCCCTAGGTCAACATTACACCCCTGGCATTGCCCCGGGAGGCTCCCCCAGCAAGAGTTTTACCCAAAAAAGCACCAGCAGGTAATGCACATGCCAGCCAACTGACTCCTGACACCAGGCAAAATGTGGAAACTCATCTTGGGGTGCTGCACTCAAACCAGTGGGATCTTCTGCGGTGGTCTCTACCAAGCACCCGTTTTGATGCAGGACTAGCATTGAAGCACCTACATTAGCAGACACCAAGAGCAACGGTGAAGCCAGGAGAGATGAAAGTGCTTGCAGGTGAGAAGCAAAGGGCTGATGGCCACCAAGCTTCACCCATTCCTTCTGGCTCGTGTAGAGGTGGGCACCCCTTGGGTATGGGTACTAGAAATATGTGCACCAGGCTATCATTTCCCTTTTGAGTTATTTTATACAGTTTAAGATTATTTTCCACAAGGAATTACCTATTTGTCAGAGACTCTATTATTCGGAAAGCAGCACCTCAACCCCAGGCAAACCTCACTTTCTCTTGCTCACCAAGAACACCCCAAAAAGAGAGAGCAGGCTTCAAGTCTCAGGCAAGCAAAGCATCACCTTGCACGGAAAAACTTGAACACACAGCTTTAGTTAAGCAAACCCAACACCAAAAGAATCCCAACTATTTGGGCAGATAAAGAGAAAATTCACAGCAAGACTCTTAAGAAACTGGGTATTTTTGGGCAAACTGCTAGAGCACCACGCTCCCAATGTCACCGTGCAAGCAGCCAAGGTGCCAGAAAAGCCACGTTTTTTGTCAAATGCAGACTTTTTCCAATGGTGCCTGGTGAAAAGAGAATTGCCTACGGTTTAAAACACGTATTTCCTAATGATTTCCTTCAGATCATAAGGCTATTTTGGTAGCCACACTGCTGTGCAACACGTAATCAAGGAAACATGTGACGGAGAATTAGAAAGCGATGGATTTTTTAAGACATCAACCAGATCTATTAAAGTCACTCTAATTGCAAAATTTTCCCACAGTCTTTGGTGTGGAAGCTGATGTTAACCAGCAGGAGAAATCATTCATTTGGGGGATTCAAAAAGAGCAAAGAAAGGATGTTTTTAGCTCCAAGGGCAGATAAATTGTGCTGCAAGAAGAATTGTGCTCCTCACACCCGGGTGGAAAGGGAAGAGCTGGAGCCCTGCTCCCCCAGCACAGGAAGCCACTGAGACACAAAGAGCCCTGCCATGGAAGAAGGAAATAGAAAAATAAGGGAAGTACTTGCTGCAATGCTCAATTATCACAGTCTTTGGGGTAATACTTCATGAGATTTTGCATCTGCTCCCTTTCCCCTGCTCTGCTGAGGTTTCAGATGGGAACATCTAAAAAAACACTAAAAAAAAAAAAAAGCAACTTTGGTGGTGAGACTCATCATCTTGCGGGTATTTATACAGTGGAAAACATGCCATCAGTTACTTTGGAAGAAATTTTTTTACAATGAGGGTGGTGAAACACTGGCACAGGTCGCCCAGAGAGATGGTACATGCCCCATCCCTGGAAACATTCAAGGTCAGGTTGGAAGGGCTCTGAGCAACCTGATCTAGTTGAAGATGTCCCTGCTCATTGCAGGGCGGTTGGACTAGATGACCTTTAAAGGCCTCTTCTAACCCAAACTATTCTATGATTTGGGCACTGAGATGGTCTCCAAGCCACCATGGTCCACTCTGCCATGCCTCCACCATGGCCATCCTCTTGGAGATGAGTGAGGAGGTGTTGGTGCCCATCGCGGCACGGGCACGCTGCCAGCACTGGCTCAGAGCTTCCCAGCACAGATCCTGTGCAGCACCAGGGATGCAGCACCTATAACCCATCTATCAATGAGCAGGAGGAGCCCGAAAAAAGGGGCGCAGCTTGCAAAGGAAGTGTCACCTCCTGGGGCAGAACCTCCCGAGCTCCACCAAGCAGCCACCACCGGGATGCAGAAGACAGATGGGGAGCTGCTGGCTCTGGCTCGCCGGTTGCTAAATCCCACCAAGAGACATCTAAAAATACATCATACGCATCCTTCTCATTATTTTTCTACGTAAGCAATTAGTGGAGTCATCCAGGGAAGCTAGCCAAGGCGAGCGGGAGGGGAGACGCTCTGCGTCAAAAGCAGTGGGAGGGATGGAGCCCACAAGACTGGCTATTAAGATGTGGTCCATGTTATGAAAGAGCTTGAGACTTCTCCGTCCAGTGATGACAGCTCCAACTAGGTTAGAGAAAAGACCACGCCACTCCCGCTTATCTCCGGTTTCGAGGGACAGAAGGAGGCTGGCTGGGGTCCAAAATCCCAATTAATTTGAAACAAACAGTTGTAGGGGAAAAAAAAAATATCTGCTACTCCCCAAGATTTTATACCAGCGAGCCGGGGACTGGTGCCAAGAGCTGTGCAAGCTTGCTGGAGGTGTCAGAGCCTGAATCTTCTCATTGTGGGACTGCATGTGCTCCGGATACAGGGAGGGGATTAATTAATTACCCCGTGCAAAAGCCTCTGGGTGTTTCTGACACCCCAAGCAGATCCCGCTCTCCCGTTGCTGTTACCCACAAGCTTAATGTTGTAAGTCTGTAAATGAACCCAGGCTAAATCATCCTCCCTCCTCCGAACACCCATGCTGCTTCGGTTCCCTGGGGTGTAAATACAGATGGGTGGGAGGAGGATAGAGGGTGAGGAAGGATTAAACCCCCCCAGGCTGGGGGTCCTCCTCCACCGAAAGGCGCAGCAATTTGCAAGGCATAGGGCATTGCTGAAAGGCCACCAAGAGGAAAGGGATTTCCACACACAGAGAAGAAAGGCAATGGGAAGGTGATTCAAGAAATGCCCCAGCAAAGGTGCACACACACGACAGGGCGGTTTTGCACAGTTTGGGGTGGTTTTGCACAGCTTGATTCTTCGCATCCTGAAGCAAAGTCCCTTGCAGGAGCCTGTAAACCCCCCCAAAAAGCCTCTGCTCGAGCTCTGAGCCCAACACTGGGGTCTGGTCCATGCCTCCAGCCACCGCCTGGGCCCTCATGGCTGGGCACGGGGCTGCCTTGCAGCCGTAGGGACCCAGAGCCGCCACCTCCACCCTCCCCAGGCCCTGAGAAAGGGCCAAGTTATGCCTCAGAGCTAAAGGAAAGGGTTTGGGGTTTTCACTTGGTTGCTTTTAATCAGTCCCCACTCTACCGGATGATCTGAAAATTCAGTGTAGCTGTTTAATCTGTAATTTAAGAGCTACAATAAACAAGCTTTAAAATCCAGAGGTTTTGACACCTGGACACAATCTCTCCTTCAAGTGCAACTGTCTCAGTGTTAATTAATATGAAATACGTTAAAGAGCTTCTAGCTGAGCAAAGAAGGAGGCTTGCGAGTTCAGAAGACTCCTACGCATTCACGACACGTGCTTCACTTGGACCAGCACATCCCGACCCACAGCACCAGCGCACGCCTGTTCTCAGGCCCGCTCAACTAATATAAACTCCTTGAATTGATCAAAAGTAACAACTGCTGCATCTTTCCTTCTTGCAAATCCACTGTCTCCCCAAATGCTGCCCTGCACGCCAGTGCAAGCAGTTGCAAATATTTCCCTCCTCCAAACAGAGAGCGGCATCACTGTGATTAATGCTCATAAACAAACGAAGCCTCGATGGATGCCCATGAGCAATTAAGTCACAATCGATGCCCACGTGCAATTAAGCCGCCTGCAGCAGGCACAGGCTGCCCAGGCTGAGCACCCACCTGCACAGCCCAACACAGCCAGGCAGTGCTATGGCTTTTACCTCAATTTTAGCACCTCCATACAATCAGACATTGATTCAGCTGCTGCTTCAGAAAAACGCATTCTGAGCTTTTTTTGTCTATTTTTTTTTAAAAGCAGGTATGACAAAAGGCTTTTTTTTTTTTTTCCTCTTTTTAAGCTGTGCAGTGCCTGGGGTCTTCCCCACCTTTGTTATCCTCTGAGCCCTGTGTGTTTTTCAGGCTGTCTGCAAGCAACGCCAGACATATGCTCGTGGAAAACCGAGCAGTTGTGATCTGCAACAGGAGCATCTTGAAGCCCTTTCCCCTTTGCACGTGCCTTTCAAACGATGATCTTTTCAACAAAAACACTGCTCCGGGAGGATGCACACCATACGACACCAGCACATGCTGCGCAGAAATCCACGCCATAAAAACAAGCCATTTATTTTTACAATCCCCTCTCCGCATGGATGTTGCTATCTTCCAGCCCGGAGAAACATGAGAAAATTCAGAGCGGAGAATGGGATGCAGATGTCCAACCCCAGTCTGAGGACAGACAGGTATCACACATCCTAGGGTTCTACCAAGCACACGATCCTGAGCCACGTTTCCTAGAAATCGGCATACCAGGAATTTGCCAGCTCCAAATGAGAACTTCACATCGCAGATTCCTCCCAGAGGCTCACGGGAGGCGAAAGGAAGGGAGGGAAAGAAAGGCTGGGGTGGGGTGGGGTTGAGGGGTCTCACCTTGCCAGCATGCAATTGCTAGAGAAGGTTTGAAGGTCCAGGGTGGGGTCCTGGGAGGCACCTACCCAGAAACACAGTGGGGATTTCACACAAATACCTGGTAAGAAGAGGGGGGAAAAAAAAAAATTAAAAAAAAAAAAAACAAAACCCATATGCTTTATTCCAAAACAGGAT